GAGAGAGAGAGAGAGAGAGAGAGAGAGAGAGAGAGAGAGAGAGAGAGAGAGAGAGAGACCTGCAGCTGCATTGCAGCATGCAGCATGTCAGTGGCAGGGAGCACAAGGGCAGGCACTGACCTCCAACAAAAAGAAGAAGTAATTTTATCGGAATACAAGAGTTTTTTCTTTTCGAAATCCGAATAGAAAGGGTACACGTTGTATTCGATTCACATATGAAGTGTACTTTTTCTATTCGAGGAACTCTGCTATTCGAGAAAAGTGGACCCCCACCTTTTCAATTTCGAAAAAGGACTGCGGCCTCCTTGGCCTCCTACGTGCAGCTACCGGTCCTACGTGGTCCTCCTGGACCCAAACCCGTGCGGTCCCATGGGCAGCTACCGGTCCTGCAGTTTCAAATAAGATGCCACCACCCCCTAAACTGCCATGCCTTGTTTTTCCAGCCTTCCAACGACCGACGACGAAAAATGTTCTCAGGGGCATAAAACGCACCCCTGACGGGCTGCGAATTCCTGGGGAAGAGTTAGCTCAGAATGGCATGGCTTGGGGGCTCGTCTCTGTTGAGATCAGCGGGCCCGGGGCTAGGTCCCACTTGCACGAATTAAGAGAGACTGACCGTATATATTAAAGATCAACGGCCGAAATCTCCTAATTTGTGCACGTGGGACCTTGCCCCCGGTGGAAACGGGTGGTAAGTGTATCGCAGCTGGTACCCTCTTGCCCACACAGCTGGCAAGGGTCTGAGCCTCTCGGCCGCCCAGCGACACCCCAGAGCCACCCCGCCCGCAGCGGGCCCATGAACTTGTCGAAAACACGGCCTGGGTTCGAATCCACTCCACATCTTTGTTCTGATGAGATGAACTGTACCTCGAGGAGCGACTATGAGCGACAATCAGCGACGATGACCGATGAGGAGCGACGAGATACGGACTGAGGGAGTGGTGGGCAGCAGGGCACCACCAGTTCACCGGCGCAAACGATCGTGTGGCCGACGATCGGCGGGTGGCAGCGGGAATTCGTTTTGCTTTCCCTGCGGGGTGGAAAGGGGCGCCGCTGTGCGTTGGCTGTGGGGTGTCGCTGGGCGGCGGAGAGGCTCAGACCCTCGCCTGCTGTGTGGGCAAGAGGGTAGGAGAAGGATCCAGAGAGAGCAGGAGGAGGAGAAGGAGGTGGAGGAGGACGCTCAGGCGGAGCAGGTGGTGTGGCCCGCATGCAGTGGGGCGAGCACGTACGCAGCATTGCACGAGATGATTGTTTCCACGTCGGCGGCTTCTGTCGGCTCCGTCGCGCTTGTCGCTCTCCGCGTGTCTTCTCCGCGGAGGGCATGAACTGTGTCCACGTCGGCGGCTTTCCGCGGCTCCGCCGAGCTTGTCGCACTCCGCTTGTCTTCTCCGAGGAGCGCATGCACGGCAACCTGCATCGGGGTTCGATCCGTTGTCTCTCGCTTCTACCGCAGTGTCTCTTGTGTTTGCCCCCACGGCAGCTTCCATCACTACGGGAGAGTAGGAGTATACAGGAGTAGGAGAGAGAGAAGAGGAGAGAGAGGATATGGCGATCGGGGCGGTGGCGTCGTCGTCTTCGGCGGTGGGTGTGGCGGGCGGAGTAGCCTGCGCGCGCCAGTGCCACGTGTCGTCCTGTCAATCGAGCAAGGGGAAAGGTTTTATGCTAGAAGTGGTTGGGGGAGATGGAGGTGGAGGTGGCAGGGTAGACAGCGTGCGGAGGCTGCATGTGATCGGCGGCGGGCGGCCGGTGGGGGAAACAGTGGCAGTAGCGGCAGCGGCCGAGGCGGCGGGGAAGAGGAGTAGCCGGGGGGTCGTGCGCGCGTGTCCCTCCCTCTCCCGCGTGCGGACGCGGAGCACTGGCCGCCCTGCCGTGCACACGTGTCGTTTGTCGGGGAGAGGAGGCAGCGTTGGGTTCGATGGAGAAAGCGCGGGAGGAGGTAGTTGGAGCAGGAGCGCCTTCATGGGCGGCGGCGGCAGCGGGGGGAGCGCGGCTCTTCGGCTGGGGTTGTCGCACTCCGCAGCGCGCCGAGGTGGGCGGCGCGTACCCGGTCCTGGCGGGGGACCAGGTGCTCGACCTCGTGGGGTCCAGGTGCGGGCGGAGAAGGACTACTACGATGTCCTGGGCGTCGGGCGCGGCGCCGACAAGGCGGAGATCAAGAGCGCTTATCGGCGCTTGGCGCGCAAGTATCACCCCGATGTCAACAAGGAGGCCGGCGCAGAGCAGCGCTTCAAGGAGATCAGCAACGCGTACGAGGTGTTGGCCGATGACGAGAAGCGGTCGTTGTATGACCGATTCGGGGAGGCGGGAGTGAAGGGGGCGGCGGGGATGGGCGGAGCCGGGATGGATTTCTCCAACCCCTTCGACATTTTCGAGACCTTTTTTGGCGGCATGGGCGGAATGGGCGGGGGCGCGGCGGGGAGAGCGGCGCGCAATCGTCCGACCCAGGGGGACGACGAGCGCTACGACATCACGCTCGACTTTAGAGAAGCGGTCTTTGGCGCCGACAAGGAGATCGAGTGCGCGCGCCTGGAGTCCTGCGCGACCTGCAGCGGGTCGGGAGCCCGACCGGGCACCACCCCCTCCACCTGCTCCACCTGCGGCGGACAAGGTCAAGTGGTGACGTCAACGCAAACTCCGCTGGGCAGCTTCCAGCAGGTCTCGACCTGTCCGCAGTGCAAGGGGACGGGCGAGATCTCGACGCCGTGCGTGACCTGCGGGGGGGACGGCAGAGTGCGGAAGACGAAGCGCATCAGCCTGAAGGTGCCTGCTGGCGTGGACTCGGGGAGCAGGCTGAGAGTCCGAGGTGAGGGCAATGCGGGGAGGAGAGGTGGTCCCCCCGGTGATCTGTACGTGTTCATCAATGTGCGCTCAGATCCCGAGCTAAAGAGAGACGGCGACAACATCTTGGTGAGCGTGAAGGTTCCGTACACGGAGGCCATCCTTGGGACCATCGTGAAGGTCCCAACCGTCGACGGACAAGTTGATCTTAAGGTTCCCTCTGGTACCCAGCCTGGTACCACCCTGGTTATGGCCAAAAGGGGGGTGCCTATGCTGGGTAAACCCTCCCTCAGGGGTGATCAGCTGGTGAAGGTGCAAGTGGAAATCCCCAGACGTCTCAGCAGCGACGAGAGGAAGCTTGTGGAACAGCTGGCGGCGCTGAGCAAGCCGTCCACGTCGTCGGCTTCTACGACTAGCTCAAAGAAAACGGCCAACTCGTCGAAAAGAAGGTGAAAGTGACGGGAACATTCTTTTCTCTTTCTCTGCTAGTTGATTGATTAGAGGTGCTAGTTGATTGATTAGAGGTGCTAGGTGATTGATTAGACTTGTCCGGAAGAATGGTTAGGAGGATGGGGGGTCTCGGGGGGGGGGG